AGATTCACACTGAATCATGACCTCCAACGTTACTCATTTTAAAAAATCTGTCTTACATTGTTTCAGTAGTCGTCGTAGTGATAACATTGATAGTAATGGTGATGGTACAGTAGTACAAAGAAAAAGAAGAATTAAGCCGATTAATATATTTGTTGGAGTACACAAAACATTATTTTTAAAGTAAAAAATAGTTTCATGCCTGGTGTTTGTACATAGTCACCATTAACTCTCTACACAAGCTACTTCTTTAAGCCAAAAGAATGGGTATTAATGAATGCACACAGAAAGATTAACAAATGTATTTTGTGTTTTTCAATGCAAGTTACTCTCTCAACATATTACTAGATAATCAGTTAACTGTAAATTGTTTTTATTGTATGTCAGCAGTTCTGAAAGGTAACATAATCATTTTCCTTAGTTGAAGATAATAGTAAATTCAACGTAAGTGGTCACATTTGTATAAGGAGATAGATTTAAGTCTTACTTTATTCTAAAACATTCTGTAAACACATTTTAAATAAGTTCGGAGAACTGCATATGAGTATAATACATAATACTTAATAGTTTTAATGGAATTGATACAATTAACCTAATTTACCCAGGTTACCTTTATAAATACTTGAGTTATCCAAATCAAATATGCTTTTCATGCTTAAATTGTTTGAGTTTATAAGCTTTAATGGTTTAAGGCAATTGGTATCAACAGTTTGAGTTGAACTAACTCATCAGGTTTTACAGTGCATCCTGAATTTATTCAGTATTTTATATTTTTGTGTGCTGCAGATATTGTCCCAGAGTGAACTGGATAAACAGAGTCTACACAAACAATCTTTACTAGTAGTGGAAAGCTACTTCCCTTCAGCTTCTTCAGTCAAGGTGTTCTGTAAAGTTCATCAGTGTTAAAATAATTGACCATAATTTCAATTTACTTCTCTTATTTTAAGCCACTATCAAGATGTGTCTTGTAGGCGCATCTTTCCAGACACTCACTGATCAATAAATCATGAATATTGGGGAAGTCAGGTGGCTACACACCATGTGCAGTAAAGGCATAGATGGAGCTGTTATGTTGAAGTTGTAATAAATATTTCATATTAACATTGAATTAAATGACTACCCATGTTGCTATGGAATAAAAGCCTGTCAGAGGAACAAAACACAGCTTGGAAATTCAAAATGCTTTGTAGTTGCAACTGGGAACTAAACACTGCACTGCATAAACACCTAAGGCCGTAGTCGTACCAATCAGGCATTGCGGCACTTCCCGCAGGGCTGTGCGAGGGTATGGGTGTGTTTATTCATTCTCTGTTAAGCTTGTTTGACCACCACCTTTCTTTCTCTGCCTCAGCATGATGTGAGGTTATGTTTCTCCAAAAGCTGATTCTGTTTTAACTTTCCGCCACAACGCCTGATTTGGTGTGAATACAGCCTCATCCTTTCAAAGTTGTCCCAGAAACTGAAAGTGAAACGATTTAAAGGGCTTAATGCATCAGTTTAATCTACAAAGCATAATGATGATGGGATGTTTCTTAGTGAAATGTGCCTTGGGAGTTGTTGTTCTCTCCTATCAAAAGAGTCTTGTACCTTTGACTTTTTATTAGAGAACAATATATGAACTTGTGTATTTACTAATTTCTTTATACTCATGATATAAAAGGTAGAGTTTTATGTCCAACCAAGCCTTGGAAGTACTCAAAGTAACATTTTCTATGCAATCAATGAATGCAACTTTTACATTTTGAGCTCTACTATAATCAAAATAAATCCTCTCACTTCACAACTCTTTATTTGTTCAGTCAGGGTCAGCTGAATATAGAGGGTATGGACAGGAAGTTTACATACATGGAAGCCACCACCATCACTCCCAAACATGTATCTGTAACACATTCAAGAAAAAAAAAACGTGGAAATGATTGAGAGCTGCTGCACACAAACAGTTTGATAAAGATATGATGGTGAAACTCACCCTCTGTATATCTGTGCTACTGACTGCTCAGCTTGTGTCCTCCTGATTTCACAAGATGTATAAGAGGGAAGGATGAGGAGGGGCAGTGAAGAGGTGGTGGGGTCATGAGGTCACTGCTCATATTGGGGATTAAAGGTGATGCTTATCTGTAGGGGTTTCATGGTAGGAGGGCCACAATGGCTGAGAGATAGCTGGATACAGTATACAAGAGTGCTTCGGAGCCCCCGAGCTTTGCTGAAGTACCTCAACAGTGTTTCCACAACAGCATGGTTCCACCTTCTTACAACACTGCCAATCTCTGTTCTCTCTCAGAGGAAATGTGATTCCACCAGGTCTTTGAATTCTCTTTTGAAGTGTTAGTTTGAAAGAGTCAAGTTATCTTACAAACCAACTGCATTCATCCAAGTTGAACAGATTTAATAAGTACTTCGCTGTGTTAGGGAGTCAGTTGTTCGCTCATGCAAACACACTGCAAACACTAAACCCTCCCCTTACCAGTCCGAGCCCCGGGGCTCAGCACACAAAGCCTTACAGACTGAACCAGAGACGGAAAATGGGAGAGAAAAAATGTCCTCCTTGTCATAATTAAAAAATAATAAAAATAGCCCCTTTTTAAAGATTATTAAAGGTCCTTTTTGTGGCAGCATTTCACCAGTGTTGGTGCAGAAACATGGGAATAACAGAGTTGAGGCTTATGGAAGCAGTCTGCCTCCCTGTTGCACTCTCTGTCCATAAGAGAGGGGAAAAAACATGAGTTAATTGCATTTCTTACAGGCCGTCTCAAGTGGAAGCAGCTTAATGAGGTTAGGCAGCTCGCCTCGTTGAGAATCGCAACTGCTCCTAATTGTGATCTCAAATATGCTCATAATCCCCTGATTTGACAGCGGCAGAGGTTTCTGGGGAGGCATTAAGGTGAAAAAGAGAGAACAAGGGACCGAAAGACAATTAGCGAGGAGAAAAACATGTGAACAAGTACGGCGGCTTAAGACGTTTCAGTTAAATAAACAGTTTTGAATGATTTGAATGCTTTGTTTGAAGTATTTTGTACAGTTTAAGTTCGTGTTGAGTTCTTTCTCCTGAATTATTCTAGCCTGCGTGAGTAAAAGGAATAACAGGATAGCCTTACAGACAGTGGGACGGTTGCTTTAGGTCGTTTTCCAATGAAATATTCGATGTCCTCTTCTTGTTCTCAGTGCCAGCGGGGTACATAACCTTGGCACTGGTATGCCCACATGATACTGAGCTGTTGTGTCAATAGCTGTGTTGTCAGTATCAGCAGCATGTCAACATGCCAATGTACTTACTGTCATATCATGAAATATGTGTCATTTCTCGGGTAATGCAGGGTGAGACATCAGTTATGCTGGTTGTCAGGGTTTTTTTTAAGAACACATCCTTTGCACAAAGGTGAAGGGAATCATTTTGTAGACTTGATTGTTTAAGGATTGTGAGCATAGAGGTTTGTTCATCTTGGCTTCACATATCTGTGATAACATTTTTTATTATGTAGCTTTTACCAGGGGTTTTCTTGCTCAGGAGTCACTTTGGTCAGACGATAACAGGGGGAGACCATAACACCTGTCACTTAGAGGTGTAAGAAAATATTGATACACTTGAGTATAGTGATATTGTATAAATTCTGAAAATGCTTTATTGAATTATTGATTTTTGTGTTTAAACACATACAGCAAACACTAGATTTTATTCATATGGTGGTGTGTTTTTAAATTTTAGACAGATTTCCTAAAATTTGATTTTCCAAAAATTATAAATATATCGGCTTACTTACAGTGTCACACATTTTTTGTAGTATATTATATTGTCACCCCTGTACTGTGATACATATCGTACTGTCTGATTCTTACACAGCCATAGTGTCTGTTTTATGATACTGTATTTATTCTCAAAAACACTACAAACGTTTGTGTTTAAACCTCCAACTGCTAGCTTGCTGTGTTGTAAACATCTCGAGATTCTTGCCAACACACAGCCCTACTGGCTCCGTTTGAAGATTGTCATATGTGACGTCACTTGCAACAGCTGCGTACCGGAAGCCGACAACATCTGTGAACACCAGACCACAAAACGTTCATAGCATCAACTCGGAATGCGTCAAAGTTATCAACTAGGACGGCTGGAGAAAAACCAAGGAGGCCATTCACATCTGAGGACCATCTTTGAACAGAGACGGGGGTTATGATTGCCAATGTGCCTAGCATAGCCTAGCATGGCTGTAGACTAATAAGTGGGAATTATATTTTCCGTGTCTGCAATGTCATTTTCGTCTTCAGTGTGTACATGTAAGTTCTGTGCATGCCACCAATTTTCTCAGTTTTCTTCAGTTAGTGAACCAGGTAGTTCATATTTACAGATGGGTCAAGCAGGGATTTTATCTTGGCTGTAAACTGTGTTATTCAGACCCTGTCCACTCCCAAAACTGCAACGAATGACATCAGGATATAAACAAACTGCCATCCATCAGGTCACCTCTGACAAGTCCTCTGCGGGGCAGAAATGAACCATTGCTCAGTCAGTCCTGTGGGTTTCTTTGAATGTTGCGAATCACAATAATATTTACCCTGATCGTATAGTCTCCACAGGCAATGTTTCCCCCTGTGTCTCCTCCATAGGCTACATTGACTTTTAAACTCCACTCTAAGGCCACTGAGGCGACTGTGTGCACTGTTTTGATGAAAGAGCAGACAACAGCAGAACGCCTGTTTGACAGATGGCGGGGTTAACTTTATGTGCTTCAGTATCTGGCAAACAGTGCTGCCAGTGCCTCCACTCTTTAGGCTTTAGGGTGCATCGATGGAGCTTTGACCTCTGTGGTCACATGGCCGCGAGCCGTCATGAGCTGTCAGAGTCAAAATCTGAGATGACTCAAGGCACCGGACAGCTTCAATATGTGTTCAGCGCACACTCCACAGATCACGCTGTGGGCTCACAGCACTGTACTCATGTGCAAGCTAAAGTTAGGACAGGGAATATTTTCTAAACCTGTGTGTCCTCTGTCTCCCCTCTCTCTGCTCAGAATGAAGAACAAGCTCTGGTACTTTGAGTTTGGCACCACTGAGACCATATCTGCCACCTGCAAGAAACTCAACGAATGCATAGAAGTGGAGGTGAGTCACAGTCTTATCAGAGCTGTTGTCACAAAAGCATAATGGATGAGTGGTGGCAGAAAGTGATGGGAAAGATATCTTTAAATACCCAAGAATACCATATTTGATGCAAAAGGAGAGTAAAATATGAAACATCTTGTGCACACTACAAGTTAGCTTTTCTGTCTGTTTGCTGACAGACTTTAGAGTGCCGTTATTCTTTAATGTATTTCTAAAAATTGTTGCGAAAATTTACAACAAAGTCGTTTTCTCTTATTAATGAGGTGGGCTATTCATAGCACATCATCAGATTAATGCTCCATAAAGTCACTGATTGCCTCATTCTGTCATACAGCGTGCATAATCTGTCACCTGGGTCCTTAAAGCACAGCAGGAGACACACAAGAAACACGTTTCCAGGAACTAGTGCAGCCAAATACAAACAAGATGTGTTCCTTCTTAAAGGGATCATCCATACATTTAACTCATTCAGAAAAAATCAGATTTTACCATCTTTGGAAACTGGTTTACAAATATTGTCTTTGTCAAGAGTGCTGCTGCTTTATTTAAGGTTAAAGCAGCAGTAGGTAACTTTTATGAAAATAATGTTGTGGCATATTGGCTGAAACTTTCACTATACCCTGACAGTAATACATGAGACAGATAATCTGTGAAAAAATCAGGTTCCTCTGGCTTGCTTTAGTGCTCCTAATGGCATTTGCAAGAATCTACCAGGCCTGAACGAAATCAACCAATCAGAGCCAAGAAAGATAGTTTATTGTTGAGTCTCACTCCAAGGGTGTCAAATACAGACTGACTCTGGGAATGAGACTCAACAATCAACTATCTTCAAGCCTCCAAACCAAAGTGTCTTTACATCTTTCTTAGCTCTGATTGGTTGTTTTTGTTCAGCCATGGTGGATTCTTGCAAATGCCATTAGAAGCACTAAACCAAGTCAGAGGAAGCTGATTGTTTCACAGATGATCTGTCTCATGTACTACTGTCAGGATATAGGGAAAGCTTCATCAAATATGACAAAAAGTTAGTTTTATAAAAGTTACCTACTGCAGCTTTGGGCTGGCTAACTGTATTTTTCTTATTATCAAAATATTCAATCAACAATCCCAACAATGTGTTAGTCTGTATCTTTCTATTCTAAAAATGAAAACTGGGGAACAAGGCAGACGGCAAATCACTAAGGCTGGTCAGGTGATGTGCACAGGCAGGAGGCTTATGGAGGTGATCTAGTGAGAGGTTCTGTACCTCAGGGTGAAGAAAATAAATGGCAGACAATTACAGACAGATAGAGAGACTAGGGAGCAGAGGGCCAGAGGCAGAAATAGAGAAGAAAGAGAGGGAGAAAGAGCAGGTGATGTTTGACAGCTTAGACTGTGAAGCAGCTGCATTAATTGTTGGGCTTGTATTACTATGACCTTAACAAACGAGGTAAGGGAAACAGAGCAGAAGCAGTGAGGCTACTTCCTGTTAGCTAAATACCCCAGTGGAAGAGTGTGAGGACATTTGGGTATCTTATTGGTCCAATCCAGACAGTGGGTCCTAATGCATGAATCGTTCATACACACAGATTTGATCTTAAATTGTACATGTGGAGAATTTAAGAACTAAAGTGGCATTCATCAGTGCTTTCTGATTGTTCTCAGGTAAAATCAAAATTTGTTTTTGAATGCCCACACGCACAAAAGCCTGTGCTGCCTATGTACAAAAACACAGAAGAGTGTTATACAGGTACTCATTTAATAATTGTATATGTTTACACTTCTTAAAGAGGATTAGGTCCAGTGAGAGGAAGCCTGTCTTTTGCAGGAACACTGATCACATTGGCAAAGTTAGACACATTCATACCTGGAAGCTGCCCAGTACAACCACAGTCTGATCTGGCCGTTAGAACCTTTAGGCCACCACTGCTCACAACATGTCTGCTGAAAGGGGACTTTTTGCCCTTCTTTTTTATTTTTCTTAAATTTAACATCACCGGCCAGTGGTGTGTTGATTTGCACAAGGCAAACCCTTATGGATTTATTTAGGCATTTTCATACGCTAATTTCAAATTTCCTGGCGGGCACATTCCAATTTAAGATCGAACGCCATTCATCAACATACTCAGGTGTGTAAGAACAGACTGGACTGGATGTTTCATGACTCCCACATAGCATTTTCTTATTTTCCTCTTACTGCTTTGTACAAAAGCATATATATAAGAAAAATAAGAAAACAATTACACAAAAGAGAGGTTGTTATGAAGCCAAAGTGCAAAAACACATGCATTTGAAAGCGGAATGAATGTGAGTGTCCCAGAAAGAATTATGATGTTAAATTAAAACGATCTCAGTTACTGGATTATAGGTATGGACTACTGCACAGTGTCCTCTGTAACACTCCTCTTTACACTTTACAGAGCTGTCCACTATAAATCTTACTTATCTCTATGTTGACCGACCCTTATTAATGTTGGTTAGCAATCATTCACACTTTTTAATAAATACATTTAAATTGAAATTAAGCTCTGAGAAATACCTACTAGTACTGTATGACTTTATAAAATTCATTTCTAATAACAGAGAGAAGCGATGTAAAGACAATTGCGTTGCCTTGTGTCTGCACTCATTAGTCTGTGTGTGTGTGCATGTACCATATTCCACGTGTTATGCAGTTTCTCATACACACATTACGTGATGGTTTGCCTGCATGTTGTGGGCGTGCGGTAAGGACCAGCACTTTGGTTTGGCTTCTTTGACTCAGCATGATTCAGCCGTACATGCTGAGTCACAACAATGTGTTGTTGACATTCTCTGGTGTGTTTGAATTATTTGATGAATCCAGATGAGGCTAGACACAGTATAATTCAGAGTTAGGCCAAGAGTGCCAAATAATATATATTTCTGTCTGTTAGTATCAGACAATATGTATTGACATTGGGCCAACCTAATTTATTGCTGTCGGTTTTGCTGCTTCACACAACTCAACACTTGGCATCTGTCCAGGTAATGCATCAGGCTAAAATAAATCTTGCAGCCTCGCACAAATCACTGGTGCGCAAAGTGGGTACAAGCATGGACAGCTATTTTACTCTATGATACAGCAGTATTGAAGTGGCTGTGGTTTTCACACTACGACCGATCAGTAGAACCTACCAGGAGGTCATTAATAACACCATTAATAAGAAGCACATCATGTTTAAATAGGAAAGTAGTTTAAAATCACAAAGAGCAACCAATTACAGCATACCGCTGTTAGAAACTGAGTACAATTAGCTGATCATTAGCCTGTCATTAATCAATACACACATTATTATATCACAGCAGTCAACATCAGCTAACCTCATCATATGATAAGATAAGAAACGATAAGAAATATTGCATATTAACAATTCGTGTCTGTGAAAACATGTAACCCTAGAAACACAAGCTAAAGGCTGTCATATGTTGACAGTGTTCTTGTCAATTCAGCATCAATATAATCCATTAAGATAAACTTTATTCTGTAAAAAAGAAAATTTTGCCTTGCCCTCTTTCTGCCAGATAACAGTGGGAATGAGAGGCAAACCATTTTAAAGAAATGAGATTTCTCACTAAAATAAGCGCTGGTTGGTGGATCAGATACATGACTCATAACACTGTTTATTCGCGGTCTATTTGTAATGGTGTTTGAGTTTTTCAACCGTTACCAAAGTGACCATCTTATGTGTTCATCTCAGTTTTAGTCACACTTTTGTTTGAATTATTTTGAATCTGAGACAGCGTCGCCAGAACGTCTAATGACGCCTGCTGTCGCTAGTGCCTAAAATCGTTGACATGCATGCGCTAACATGCTTAAAAATGAGAAACCTGGTTATGTGTATATGTGGCCAAGAGATTGACTTACATTTACCATGACCGTGGAAGGTCAGCGAGGGAAATCAGGCTTCTCCAGTTCCAAAAACTGAGTGTCTCATTTACATGTTTAAGAAATCAGTCTTTCTCTTTGTCCTTCTTCTTTCTGTCTCTCTGTCTCCTGTCTCAATTTCCTCTCAGTGCGACGGGATCATCTTGGACCTCAGCAACACCTCCTTAGAAGGCATTGCCGTGCTCAACATTCCCAGCATGCACGGCGGCTCCAACTTGTGGGGTGAGTCGAAGAAGAGGAGGAACTACAACCGTATGAGCAAGAAGGTTCCTGACAGGATGCCCGCCAGCACCGTCACAGACGCTAAAGAGCTCAAATTTTGCGTGCAAGGTGAGTCAAAGGAGATGAATGAGGACAGTCAAAAGAAGAAAAACAGAAATTCGGTGAATTATCTACCTGTTGCTGCCATAAAAGGCTGAGCAATTCATAATTTCCTTAATTCGAACTTGCATTGCACACATAAACAGTGCAATAAATACTTCCAGCAGTAGATGGGCTGCCCACACTTAATTAGCCTCCTCTAAAGTCATAATAAGTAATGATAATAACCATTTTTGACTTGTTATCCCGAAGCACTGTCTATACGTGACCTCTCTGGACATGAGTTATTATCAGTTCAACCTAAGCGGAAGTTCCAGACAGAAATCAGCCCTGTAGTTAGCACAAGGGGCTCCATTGGAGGGGAAGTGTTGTTTAAGGCACCAGTGAAACGATGAAATACGATCCAAGAAGTCCAGCTGGTGTAACAGATTAATGTGTTTAAAGGCTTATCAGATGGCAAAACAATGCATGGGGGTTTATAATAATCAGAGACAGAATTTTATATCTCTGGCAGCAACTATTTTATCTTTTGTCATGGCAATCAGAACAGTAGAAATAAAGCATTTGCATTACAAAGTAATCCACCATAAAATACGCACTTATTTAAATGGCAGACGCAGTGCTTTGCCCAATGACTTTGCTTCAGAAGTGAAGTCTTGTTCAAGTATTCCGTTTCACGGCCCTGTCTTGGCACCCCCGTTGCGCTGACAGACTGGCTCCATTCAAATCAAGGGTGTGGGTTTGGTCTCAACATTGGATTCATGAGAGAGCTGCATTTTTTTACGCAGGGCTACTGTCGGTTTGAAAACGGTGCATTGTGGTGTTGGCAGAGAACAAAGAAGGCATTCCCTGTGATGAAATAGGTCAATAGTATTACCCGGAATAATTCAGTGGTGTCATAGATGTCACCAGGTAAATAATTTCATTATTATAAGGCCCTGTTGGTGTCTTGGGTGATCCAATCTTGGACTCCATTGGTCTTGCCAAATACTGTAGTTGGTTTGTAGACCTGTTTTGTTTTGTATAAATACAGAAAACGGAAAAACAACCTGTTTTGTTTGAATTGAGTTCTTTTATTTCTGATTGAACCATTTGTCTCTATATTTATCTTTATAAAAGGACAGTATGTGTTTTTTTAAGATGTTAAAAGGGTTAGACGTTCCAGAATGTTTGACCGTTTACCCTTTAGGGTCATACTAAAATAGCACACATGTAGACCGCAAGTGAATGTGGTTTAAAGAGTTACCCTCCATACACCTTTCTCTGCAGCAATAATTGACGTTATTAATGGTTCTTGATATTCAGTGGTATTCCCCAGCAGGGAGGAACCATTTAACAGTTATCCTTTCAAAAATTAATTAACATTTGCGGCTGCGTTGGTGTTTCCAATAACTTATTGCTTAATGTAATCAAACATCTATTTAATATATTCTACAATGTGTGTATGCTGCTGCTTATTCTATTTTTGTAAACCGATGTGTCCACACCGTTCCATCTATCTGCTTATTTTTCATATCTAGGCCTTTGATTCTTCTGTGGAGCTCATTAACAGACCCCGTCTTTCAAGTTACAGATATGAATTCAGAATACACATTTTGGCAGACTCATGGCTCCAGCTGTTCCTGAGCACCAAGCTGCCTCTTAGGAAAGTCCAGTCCGTATCAAAAATGCTTGATATTTTGTGTCGCCTTGACGGTTGTGTCTATGTGGACAATGACATGTCAGCAGTGTATGGCACCGGCAGATGCTCAGTACCTGAGTTTATCTGAGAGTTTATCTGCTGCTGTACACATAAAGGTCAGTTTACTCAGCACGCGGAGCACTACTCTGCCTTAGAAAACAGTTATATAATGTCCACTGTGGTTCTGGAGCTTCTTCGCATTTTGCTTCGGGCAGTACATATTTGAACAGAAAGCACAGACCAGTAGGGTCTAACAGAAAAATTGTTGCATTTTGGGAGCTCTACCCATGTAAATGGTAAATGGACTGTACTTATATAGCACCTTTCTAGTCTTTGGTCCACTCAATGCGCTGTAAACTACATGCCACACTCACCTCATTCACACACATTCATACACTGATGGCAGTGGCTGCCATGCAAGGTGCCAACTGCTCACCAGAACGGAATGCTGTGTATGAATGAACTTGGGGTTCAGTGTCTTGCTCAAGAGGGAATCGCTCCTCCCCAGCTCCTCCTCCGATTAATGGACTACCCGCTCTACCTCTGAGCCACAGCCGCCCTGTTTCGGAATGAAAGTCAGGATGCACTGGACTGAAATCTGTCTCATATGAGTCCCTTGACTTCAAAGAAATAAGGACCAAATAAAGTTTCAGTTTCTTTTTAGTTGTATTTTCTAGACAACTCTTGCACACTTTTTCTAGCTCTCTTTAAAGAGGACATTTATGTTTGTGAGGTGGGACGTCTCCTACTCAGTAGTCTCTCGTAGCCAGACTTATCTCCACACTTTTCCATTGGCACTAACCCTAAACCAGCACTAAATTAAACTATGCCGCACTGATTTGTGTTTCCATTACCGGTTTAAACATGCGAGTTGTGTCGAGCTGTGTCCGAGATGGCCCGTTTCTGGCAAACAAGCGTGTGTTCCTAGACTTAACTCATGTCTGTACAGGATAGCAGAAAGACAGACGTTTTTGAGAGTCTGTGTTCAGCTCTGTATACTATAAACTGTGGTTTGACGTTTAGTTTCTCTCCTGCGTTGTACTTTCAGATATCTGCTTTATTTAACTGGTTCATGTTCGCTTTCAGCTGTATAGGAGTCGTGTTAAGTCACTGCTGATAAAAACCCAACATTTCCTGAGTGTGCTGCTTCATATTAAAAGCTTATGAATAACAAAGTAATGGGGGACTTTTATTGTGAAGAATTTATTGAAAATGAAATGTGTTCAGAGAGAAATGTGCTTTAGAACAGTGGTTCCCAACCTGGGGGTCAGGACCCCCACTAGGGGCTTTACGGGTGGTCACGAGGGCTTCTTGATTTTAAAGCATGCTAGAAAAAATACATGTTAGGCCTGTATCTCAGGATCTGGTTCACTTCTGTAAAGACAAGTAAATTAAATTGTTTAATATAATGATGGCCAAGCTTCTGGGACAAAACCATTTGTCTGTAAGTCTGTATGATTGTTAAAAATGATAAACATAACTAATACAGACAGAGAATTGTATAAAAAAGTTCCCTAAACAGGAAATTTTTTTCTCAGAATTCATGCAAATCAGTCGTTTCACACAAACATCCTGCAGTTACTGAGTTCACTGTTTGGGTTCATTGTACAGATTTGAATATAATATTAAATATCCATACAATATCTCACTTAGCCAGGGTTGTTAGTTTACTAAATGATAGAAAAGGACCACTGCTTTAGGACATAACTGCTGTGAAACAATCAGAAAATAACGTTGTGTTTATTGGATGCACTGCTTTGTTCTTGCTAATGCCACTCCCTCTCTTCATTCAATCTTAAGATCTCTTTACCTCTCTGGGCTTCTCTCTATGCTGATGCGCCAAGCCAGCACCTGTGTATGAAAAGGGCTATCAGTTTTAGAGATGGAGAGCAGGTCTGGCTGAATCCATTATCATTCTGCTATAGGGGGCAAAATGCTCAGGTTTGTTTGTATTTCTTTAAACCAATCACAGTCAGCTCAGGTGGCACTGTGCCCCCTACAAAAATATTTTTAAAAAGATAGCTTAAGAGGAGGACAATGCCGACCAATGGCTGATCTACTTCATGTGAGCCAAACTACCTAGTGTGAGAATAGTTTGGTGCTCTGCGTGGGAGTATGTGTGACTTACAAGTCACATGTCCAGGCAAGGACTTTTCTCACATCACCATTTCTGTCATCTTCTTCTTCTTTCTATTCTTTCATTCATTCATTCTGTTGAGTGTTTTTCTACATTTGAGGGGAAAAAAATCAAGGAACCAGCACACAACTGTTTCAATAGGAATCAGAAAATTCTAATATATAGCTGTCAATGAAACAAAAATGGATTTAAAATTCAACCATGGAGAAAGTGGTATCCAAAAAAAAGCCATTCAAATTGAGATAAAATATCCTTATTTATGCTGTTAACTGCTCGGTTTTTACCACTTAAGTTTTTATAATATAGCTATACTCCAGGACGAGTTACTTCCAGCTGCTGTGTGAGCCTTTATTTGATGTCCACAAACATTAGAAGATAACCCGCTCTGTGCTTCCACCAAGGTTTTCTCTGTTCATCCCACTTTTGTCTCTCTCACTTCACTTTGTCTCTACATCTCTGCTGACTGAACTAAACCTTGTTTCCATGGAGACATCGCGGTTATACAGAAGTAAAGACTGAAGGAGAGGAAGAGCAACAGACGGGAGAAAGACATAGTGAAAGAAACTATAGCGTAAGGAGAAATAGGGCTGACTCATATCTGTCAATGTCAGTCCTATGTGTTTATAGTTGATGCAGTCTTCATTTTAAGTACAGTTAACTGCACGTAGTGGGTGAAATGTAAAATAGACCAAATGCATGATTGGAAGTGAGAATTATTTTCCCATCCAGTTCATCAAGTTCACCGTATGCATTTTTCAGACTTACTGACAAACACTGGAGATGAAACAGCCATTCATTGTGAACTGAGCCTCAGATCACATGCTGGTGTCATCCACCATCACTCAGTTGTTTTCTGCTCAGCCCCTAACGCATCCATTGATACCAACCATGTCCTGCTAGAATGTCGGGAAGGGGGTGCAAACTTAGGCAAAGTTTTTGTAATGGAAAAACTGGCACGGCCAAGTGGTCCCTTGACATCTGACCTCAAGATATCAGAATGAAAATAGGTTCTGTGGGTACCCATCAGTCTCCCATTTGCAGACATGCCCACTTTATGCTAATCCCATGCAGTTTTTTGGGGGGAAAAAAAACTGGTTATTTTCTCCTAGTGTATTTTAATATTTCTGCACACTGGGGTCCATAAACAGTGTTGAAATTGCATAAATTGGGAATGACTGGATAGCTGAGGTA